TCCATGGGTTGTACAACAGCACTGGAAAAGCCAAGAGGACACACTATTAACAGCCTCCTGAGCATCTGCTAGCACTACATTAACTGGGTTAGTGGGTGCAAGACCCATAGCACCTGTCCAGACCAGGAACTGAATTCCCAATGTGGGCAGGGGAGCAATGAGGTCTGCATGGAGTCCCTGCAAAGAATACCCTGCACAGAAACAAGGAGTCCCCAGGCTGCTGTGAAACCACCTTCCTTTGTTCAGGAAATTCCGATTTCCTCTGTTATAAATAATATTCTCCAGTGGACACCTTACAACAAGCATTGTAAATGACCTTACAACACTTAGGATAAATAAAAACCAGGAAATCAAGACTTTGTCCTCATGCTTGCTGTGACTTTGTGGAACAAAACATATTTTCTGTGTATTTCCAGTTGTCTTTATCCCTTGCCCCATTCATGTCTGATTATGTAGACTGAAAGGTTTTCTGTGTTTTCAACACTATTTTCATCTCTCTCTGTCCTGACAGTGCTTGGGGTGTAAGCGTTGGTGTCAGACCCTATACACTGCTGGGATGAATGGTAGGCTCCTGAACATAGTCCTCACAGTGTGAAATGGTATAAAAAGAGATGCTGTAATAAAAAAAAACAATTCTAAATGACATTTTACTTAACTGAAAAAAGTCAGTGTTTTATAGTTCCTCCATTTCCAATGAATCAGCTGATCCATACTGGTTAAAAAATCATCAGGCAGTAGCTGGTCTAACATAATTTAGGCATCTTCAAAGAGATGAACAGTGCATACTACTGGAAAGGATCTAATAAGTTAAAACCCCACCTATTATGTGATAGGATGGCTGCTGAAATAGTGAGTTTTACCCTGGGTGAAGGAACATTTACCTGCACAGGCATCATTACAAAGAGCCCAGCATATGCCCCCTAAACTTATGGATCCTTCAAGCAACTTACAGTCTCTGTGCCTTGCTTCATGTTTTATGAGAGTGCTTGTCAGGTACATAAGCAAAACTTTGTGATTTATATTAGATATCATGGCAATCAATTTTTGTGATCTTAAAATGTGTCTTAGCACATTTTTTGTCCTATTTTTTTTTAGTGATGAACCTGAAAAATACCTTTTTTTTCTTTTTAGAAATAAATTAATAATAATTTATTTTAGAAATAAATCTTATTTTTACAGCTGCTCATCTGTCTATGCACCCTGCTAATGATAAAAGGTTCAACTTCCAGGGTGAGACAATCCAAGTCTATTGCATTAATGCATTAAATCTTACATTTTAAATAATGGTTTTTCACCTGGAAAACTTCAAGAAAGGAACTGCTGCAGTTTTCAATTTTACTCAGCTGGGGATGATAAGAGGCAGTGTCTATTTCCACATAAACTGAGAAAAATGAATCTCATTATTTTTGATGATGTAGCAAAGAAGTAATGACCCTGTGGGATCTCATTACATGGCTGAAAAGTAAATTAACTTTGGCGTAACTGTATCGAGTGAATTACTCTAATGATCTGTTTCCTAACTCTTATGGGTGATCTCATAACAATGCTCTCATAATCTGGGAGTACACATGAGAGCATAAATTGATGTTGCTTTCCAAAGTTCAAACTTCCTTCTCAAAGGAAGCCACTGAAACACTCTGTCATCACATTGCTGAGGGAAGCAGTCACTCCTGTAGGTGATGATGACACCTTCTGTGGCACTGATAAAACTGGTCCAAAGCACAGGAATTCATATATCACCATGAGGATGTAAAATTGAAGGTGGCCCTCGTGTGACAGAGAAGGAAGAGTTACTGTCTTCCTCTGACTGGTCACCTTATCCACGGGACAGGCTTTTCCAGACAAAGCCACTCTGCCTGAAAACTTGTCCTAAACATGAACAGAAAATCAGCTGGAAGTTAAAAGGCAGAAACTTTTTACTTTTACAGGAAAGGCTGGGTTTTTCAGCAGAGAGATCCTCAAGATTTTCTGTTAACCACATCATCTGAGAGACTTGAAATTGTGGACATTAAAATTCATTAGTCATTTATGAGTTAGAAATGAAGGTCTAAGTCTCTCATTTTTGTTTTCCAACAGATAAATATTTATCAGAGTTTGAAATTACTCTGTCTAGGATTTCTCATTCATCAAGGTTCAGAGCAGGGCATAACATGGAATTATCTTCTTGTGGCTCAGTAAATAAGTATTCACATTGTATTTAAACACGTCTGCAGTGTGGCTGACTTGCCCTGGGTCAGTGAGCTTCTGCACAGAACTAAAGCTCCTTGGAGACTGGCCCTGTGCTTCATTCTGTTTGCTGCTTCCTTGTCCTGGAGTCTCAACATTACTCACTAAATTTGCGTAACACTAATTAAGGATGTGATCAGACAAAGTAATCAACAGTAGTTCTGCCATGCACTGTGATTATTTCAAGTTGAGGTGTGAGTAAATATGCAATTTCAACACAGGGATTTTAATTTTCTAGCAGCAGGATTAATGAGTTTGCTTTGCATTGGTCACCACTGACGTGTGAAGTGATGGAAAGCAGAGGCAGCACAGAACACTTGTTCATGGCCATGCTCACCCTGCTGCTGTAGCCTCCCCGCTTCCAGATCTTGTTGCTTTAAACAGTTGTTTATCACAAAATCCTTGATGGAAGAAAGTAACATTTTTGAGATTAATTTTCTGGTGCCTGTGAAACTACCAGCTGTTGGGTGACAGCCTGTCAGATTTTTTAAAACAATCCAACTTTAAAGGGCAAAAATACTATGTCTGACAGGAGTAGCAGCAGTGGTCGTGCCAGGCAGCTAGTACAGCAGGTGGGTTCTGAGACACTACAGCACCATATGCTGTCTGCCACCAAAGCTCTGCAGCAGGAGACGAAACCTAAAACTGAACGGATGGAAATGTAGATGAAGTAGTGTCACTGCGTGTCCTTAGCTGCCCATCCTGCACAGAGGCCTGGAAAGGGAGAGAGAGGTGTCATTCAGCTGTAGGCGGCACATGTTTTGCTTCTTAAGGAATGAAGTAATTTTTATCCTATGTTCACCAAGAAAAAACTGGAGCAGAGTAAGAAAAGGGCAAAGCCAGAGGGGCTGGTGGTGGAGCTGGGTACCAAACCTTCTTCTGCACCCTGGGAGTCCCTCAGCTCTCACACTCACCAAGATGATATTATTTACCAAGAGCTGTTACCAGCTGTTTGCAAAGACGGACAATAAGAGGACTCTGAGGCAGTAATATGCATTATCTGAGCAGTCCATGTTTGAAATGTTGGTATATTTCACAGCATTTTCCTTACCTACCTGGGAATAATAAAACTGGTAGCAGTCATTTGAAATATCAAGGAGCAGCTGTTTGCACTCTTGCCCAGCATAAATCTCAAACCACTTACAATAGCATCACAACCAACCTGAGCTACAGCTGATCTCTGGTGATAAACTCTGATTTCCTTTTTGATCAGTTTCCCTCTGCCTGGAGTCTTTCCAACATGGTGTCCTTCTTGAAGAAAGGAGTGAGACACACTGAAGCAAATCTGCTGAAACATCATTTGACACTTCAAGCACCACCAAGGATGGAAAAACACTTGGCAGAGACTTTTGCCTGCATCATGTGTTGGTCTTCCATAATAATGATACCTTTGCAAGTGTTGTAAACTGTGGTAGCGTGTTCATGGCTGTCACACTGTCCCACCACAGAGGGCAACTGAATTTAGTTCAGAGAAATCAGTCAAGACTGATGTTTCAGAAGTTATTCACTCCAGTCTCATTAAGTTGACTCAGACTAAGAACAGATGATTAATCTTCTTATCTTCTTGTCATCTCCCACCAAAAAGCTCTATCACTTTAACACCTTCCTCAAGGCTCCTTTGACTGATCTGATTATTTTCCTGGCTCCTGAAGTCTTTTTGACTCAATCTGATTGTTTACTTCCCACTTTTCTCCCTTTGCCTGCTCTTGTCTATCATACAGATATTGCTTTCTCTTTTCCCTCCAAGTGATGATGTAGAATAGAAGAGCACTGGAGCAGAGACCTTGCTGTCTACGTTCCTGGAGGTTAAAACTGAGCAAGTCCATCACAAACTTAGTGTGCTACCACATTATAAATTATAAAAATGAAAACACTACTTGACATCCAATGGACACAGATTAAATTGCTGAGAGAGAGAAGGCATATTTTTTAAGGACAGAAAGACACCTCTGATTTTGTTTGACCTCCTCTCAACACAGGCTGTAGAATATCATGCAATCACCTCCACATTCAATCAATATTGTATTGGAGAACCAGAACATTTCCTTTCGAAATTTAGGCAGGTATCAAGATTACCTCTGGGGAAGCAGCTACCCCAAAGCTATGTAAGGATACATTTTTTTAGCAGTCAGAAATATATGGCTACATCTGCAGATGCTAATGATTAAACTCATTTCCCTCTGTGGACCCTTCCTATTTTCTCCTTAAAGCCTCTGCCATACCAGAATTTAATGGGGAGGAGAGATATTAATTGACATACATCCACATCTAATTCCTCAAGTCAGAAATGAGCATGATCCAAAGGCATGGGGACAGACTATTACTGTGCTGGCCTAGCATTTGGGAACTTCCCAGTTTGTTACAGCCTCAAATTCAAACTACTTCTGTGCATTACATACAAATGGGTTAGATGACTGCAAAAAGAATCACTAATTTGACAGCAATGCAAACATTTTTGACATTTAAACATTATCCAGTAAAGGTGCATAACCCTTTTATTTGACAAAAATGAATACTAATGAGAACTCACACGTTAGAACCCTTCTGGGGTAAAGAGATGAGGGATCATATTTCTATTATTATTTTACATTTTTTGTAACAAATTAATTCATTACTGTACTTCAAAGACTGATTAATTTCTCACAGTGGTGGTCTAGACTTTTTTTTGTTCTTTTTTTTTCTGCTGCTATGGCTGCTCAAGTAACCACTGATTAATGCAACAGAATATTCAGCATTGCAAATGAAGAAAATACCAGAGATTATGTGCTTTCTACCTTCTCAAAGGCCAGCTGCTGTCCAGCTCAATTTATCATCTTCCTCTCCTCTCTCCCTCTTCACCCACAGGTTTCTTTGACATGCTTTCACTTCAGTATATGTTTTCTCTTGCTCCAAGGGTAATGTGTCCTCTTCCTAAGGAAGGCTGGTGAAAAAGAAAAATGGGTGGAAAGCTTGAATCATACATAAAGTGTGCATTTTACACAGTCATACATTACCAGTGTGCATTAAAAATTACAGAAAATGGCACTGACAATGGGGAGCCTAAAATACTCCTTATTCCAACCTTGTGCATACAGCTTGGACATACTCAGGAGTGAGATCTGGGATCTCAGAGGCTGACCTTTGACTGTGTCAAGTTTCTTTCTAAAAGTGAGTTTAGTTGAACTTGATTTTGGTGGTGACCTTGTCAGACTATGAGCGGGGTCAAGCTTTTTGTCTTTTGTTCACCTTTGTGTAGCTAGGAGATGATTTTTAGCAATGTTCCTCTTCTGTGCAGCATGTTGTATATTGGGTAGTGACCTCCACTGATAACCTTGCTGTCCCTCCAGTTTAGAAAAAACTCAAAAATGTTATCGCAGCACGTTGTATATTAGGGTAGTGACCTCAGCTGATAACCTTGCTGTCCCTCCAGTTTAGAAAAAACTCAAAAATGTTATGTGAACAGAGAGAACATTAAAGAAGGAAGCAGAAAGGTTAAAAAAATATGTGTTCAATTGACAGATCCAGCTCATGTAGCACTGTGAGGTAAAACATGTTATTTCTACTCCTTTTAACAGCTTAGGTATGGCTGTAGAAATGTCATGTAAGTGGTCTCAAAAGCTGAATACTCTGAATAAGCCTGTTCCATGCCATATATCAAGTTATTGTTAAACACTGATAATACAGTCCCTTCCCTCATTTAATCCTGCTGAGGATCTCTCTCTAGCAAACAGTGCTTCTAACAGAGTTTTCTTCCTCGGCACCCTGGCCCAATTCTGCACTCAGGTTTTTTCCATGATTCCAATTTGTCTGTTTGCTGCCAGCTCCCCATGACAGGGGTATTGGGCCTGACTGAGAGGAGCTGGTCTTCCCAAGGCAGCCTTGGAGCTGTGCTTTTGTGTCAGTAGATGGAAAGGTGTTGATAACACACCAGTGTTTCAGCTGCTACTGAGCAGTGCTGGCACAGCACCAGCACTGTCTCTCCAGCATTGCCCCCATCATGGGAGGGGACACAGCCAGCACAGCTGATCCAAACTGATCAAAGGGATATTCCATATAATATGATATCTGCTCAGCAGTACAAGGTTTCTCAGGCTGAGTGTCCTTCAGCCACTGCTGAACAGCACCTGTGCACAAAGGCAACATATTCTGTCAAAGCAGAAATCAGGCCTTGCAAGCTTTGCTAGCAATCAAATCTTCTAGGCAGCCACTGGACATGAGAAAACAGGATATTGCCAAGGTGTCAAAGGACTTCAGGAGTCTGGTAAGACTCAGCCTCCTGAATCATTTAGACCTTCTTTATAGGTACAGAGAGGAATTATCCAAGGATCTCTCAGTGCTTTACACAGAGAAAAACCCAATTTATGTACTTTGGCAGAGCTCCACAGAAACAAAAGCACAGGGGAAGATGGATGAGGGACACCACAAGGGAGATCACATGGCTTTCTCCACCAGATATTCCCCTGCCTTGACTGGGCCTTTAAAGAATTTACAACACTGTGCTCAAAACCTTTCTGCAAACCAGGAGAAATAACGTCTTTTTTCCCAAACAGGAGCAATGTTTTCCCTCAAAAAAGTAGTCAATTTAGATGAGAAAAAAAGAATATCAAAATGTTATTTTGCTTGTACTTATGCAGGTCATTTAGCCTTTTAGTATCTATTAATTATTCTTCTTTGTCTAGGCTCATTATAAAATATCCAGCTGATACTGCTATTCTCAGTAGCCTGAGGAAGATACTTTGATGTTAAATGCTGCACTATCAGGAACATTTACAGAGTTGGCCTGGGTTTTTTAGCTTGTGTTACTTATTTGGGTTTTTGTTTGTTTGCTTATTTGGTTTTGTTTTAACTCCCTCCAATTTAACTCCCTTTCATGTAGTCTGTTGCTCATTTAACCTGAATTAAATTTGCCAAAACTTTGTACTAAAACAAGTGATACTATTTTTCTGTTCTGTAATGAGGTTTTTTTCCGGCTATATTTTTGGTCTTTTCAGACTGACCTATGAAACAACAATTTTCTGATCCACTTCTTCAACAGTAATTGCTCTTGCCTATCTCAATCACCCAGCATAGAGTGTGTGCCTGAGGATTTATTCCAAGTGATTAAGATGATTTCCCAAGGATGTTCCATATGATACTTATTTGATTTACATCTCTCTTCATTTTCACTATTGTCTTCAAAATTACAAAGGTTCAATACAGGTTTTGTTTTTAAAGGAAATTATGCTGAGAACTTCTCACTGCATTAATGCTTCTGATGTTCAAGGATGTTAGTAATTTGTGTGTATGTAATTACAAAATTATGGTTTGCTTGGAGCTTTGTCCTTTTATTCACCCTACATAAAATGTTAAGAATAGCAGAGCCACAAATGCACTTCATGGTATTTCTGATACTCTACTGAACTGAAGATAAAGTCTAATAATTACTTTTGTCATAAAGCAAATTTCTGCCTCTAGAGAGATGATGAACAAGGTTTTTGTGGTGTGCTGTCTAATAATTCAGCTGGTCACAAGGCTTCTATATGGTCATACACCTGGAACATGAAAATCATCTGCATTATTCTGAGGTTACTGGTAGAAAAATGAGATATTAAAATGTCACAACAAAGATAAAAGGATTGGATAGGGGCAGTTATGATACCTGGGATAAAATTAAAAGTTTATCTAATTTTGTGTTTTAGGGTATGAAGTGAACACCAGGTTAGTTCAGGAATAAATCCTTCCTCTGAATGTCAACCCTAGAGCACAAGTGGTGACTGATCGGAATAGCTGGTGACATGGCTGCAATCTGTCATCTTCCTTTGCTGAAAATACCTTCATCATTCTCAGACATTAAATGAACCAGTGCTATCTTGTGGTTTAGAAATTCCCTTGTTTTGACAGACTTGGCATTCCAGTGTCACAACAGAGCTGATTTCAGGTTGGTCCTGCATGGAGAAAAGCTTGGTGACAATTCTCAGCTGCAAGGACACATCTGTGTCAGTTTGCTAAATAGAATGGAACCCAAATTTCATAATTCATCAGTACATGGCCAAATAAGCCATCAGCTTATATGGGATTTAGAAATGTGAGCACTCTAGAAGTACCTTCGTCTCTTTTTTCACCTTCTTTCGGGTGCGCTCCTAGAAACGCAAAAAATTGGGGAATCTTTGAGTTCCTCTGGAGCTGGCAGTTCTACAAAAGTAGGGCCAAATATTCACCAAATGCAAATCAAAAAACATTCACTGAGACTAGTGTGAAAAAAATCAGGTAATTTTGTCAGAACCACTCCAGTTTATGACACCTGAAGTTTTGACCCTGAACCGATGAATGGATAAAGCAGGTCCTTTCCTTGCTTGCATGTCAAGTCCCCTTTGTCTGCTGACTAATGCAGAATGCAGAAAGAGGCACAAAAGGCATCCACAGTATCTGTAAAAGCATCCAAAGTTCAGTACTCTTTGCCAATTTTTCTGAAAGAATGGTACTATTTGAGTGGTTGCATTTAGAGATATTCTCCAAAAGTCCTTGGAGAGTGGTATCAAAAATCTGAGAATAAGAATCAGCTCTAAAACATGGAACTATGAGAATTACTAGAGAGACCCAGAAAAAATTAAGTAAGAAATATACCCCCATTAACTTTAGCGTGTCCTAAACAATCAAAGTAATGCAAGTCTGAAGGTTCAGACTGTGTTGCTGAGCTGACACTTGCTGTCCCCACACCACTGTGACAGATTGCATAGCTTACAGCCTTTTGGGTGCTAAAATCCTAAAACAGAGCCACAGCTGACCTGGTGATCCAAGCCCACAAACCATTGTTTGGCCACCTGGGGTTTAAAGAGAAATTATGTATTACGAGTTATGTAGAAAAATTATGATTCTCTTACTATCCAAATAGTAAACTGGCTGTAGAAAATGTTCTAGTTCTTTTGAGTGCCAAGACTGTATCCTCTGGTACCTAATTGAAGCTACTCAGTCTAGGAGGAGTCGGGGCTGAGCTGACACAGCTCAGGACCTCTCTGGTCTGCAGTAGCATTTCAGCACTGCACTTTGTAGGTAGATGAAGCCCCTATCATAAATGGGAAGACAAATTTCTCTAAGAATAATTTAAAACAACTAAAATGCTGGTTACCATCCTTCCCAACTAACTGTTTTTAGGTGGCATTTGCTCTGCAAACCTGCACTGAAATGTTCAAGGCAAAGGTTTAAGAAAAGTATCTTGCTACACACGTGAACTTCCATGTTCCTATTGTCTACATGTGGGGCCCATTCAGTCTCCTACCTGTTTCCTTTTTGTGACTAGAGAAGTAAACTAAGCCCGAAGGAGACAAGAAAGATTATAAACCCAATTTATTTCAGAGCAAAGGAAATAAAAAGGAGTACAGTCCCCAACTAAAATCTTTTCAACTTCCTCTATTTATTTCATATCTACCTTCAGTAATAATGAGTAAATAAAAAATTAGGCAGGAACCATACCCTTTCTCAAAAAACAGAATCAGTCACCCTCTGTGCTGATGCAACCAAGAACCATAAAATTGATGTAAAGGAACAACAGACACTATTTTTTCTTCTAGAGAGTTATTTTCTTGCAATGGAAGCCAATTAGTGTTCTCTGAAGAAACATGAAGACATCAGAGAGAACACTTTTTGTCTGAAAAGAAACAAAAAGAGTGAAAATAACCTGATCTAGAAAGACATTTTCATGTGCCTTCAAAAAATGGATAGAGACAGAAAAAGAGACTACTGTAGTTTTCCTGACAAACATAATGCAACTTTACTCTTGAAAATGCTAGAGTTCTGATTTTTCCATTAGTATTATCTACTGAAAATGTTCTGTTTCAGACACTGTCTAACTTTGCCAAAATTTTCCTGCTGAATTATTTCCTTTAAACAGTGTAGCAAAGATGCTTCTAAAGCATTGCTGCCTGTTGAGATCAGGAGTTCAGGTACGAAGAAGTGTTTATTTTTTTCAAAAGTTCTTGCAGGAAGATTGTTGCTTGTCTTCATTTTGAAGTGGATTTTTTATTCACCTTTCTTTCTCCTCAAAAGATTCCTGTTTGCATTAGAGTAGCCTGAAGACAAATGTGACCCTGCTCTGGGAGAAGCCTTAGATCTTGCCTTGGGAAATGGAAAAACACCAAGACTCCATGGAGCTGAGAGCCTGTCCCTGTGCAAACATCACTCATGGCCTGACACAGCCAGGCACTGCTGCTTCACCATCAGCCCTGAAGGGACCGAGCCAGCCTTAGAACGATGAGGTAAACAGCCTACCTGTGCCAACAGGCATTTGGGTTGATATTTGAACATGCAAAAACTGGGCAATTTTGCAAACAAAGCCAGAAGGAACATTGGAGATACACAGCACCAGGGGAATGGCTCCTCTGAGGAGCTCCAGAGGCAGCAGCTGGCAGGGCAGAGGGATCATGGTGATGGAGATGTGCAAGGAGCCACAACACTTTCAACATTTCCACAAAAATCTAGGGGGCATTCATCATGTCCAGGGACAAATTCCAATTTTGGACAACTTGCCACATGTTGTCATAAAGAAAGAAATACCAAACTAACCATATAAGCAAGTTCTTCCTGCAGCTCAATGGGCAGTTTGGTGGGAGGGAGCCCTAACTACCATGAAATATCACAATTTATTTTGAACAGCAAGTGACAGTCAGAAAAGCAGAGAAGGGACTAAATCCTCCAGGTCCTCAGCTGCAGAGGAAGATGGTCAGCAAATTCCAGACAGCTTCAAGTGATGAAGCTGACACATTTTAGGGAATTAGCACCTGACATCTGGAAATGATGAACACACTACTGAAAGGCAAGAGCTGGCTCTATTCCTTCCACTATCCTGCTAATACACAATAAAAAGGTGAATTAATCTTGTTGATCTTGTTGTTCCTAGTTGACCATGACTTTTTTTTTTTTTTAAAGTGATCATTTAATTTCCTTATCTAGATTTTGGAATCATATCAACACCTTCATTTTTTGGCAACAGGGAGGTTCTCCTGATGCATTTGCAGAGACAGCTAGCCCATTGCTTTTATTTGGAAAGACAGCCTTAAAAAGCTGATGGTGTCATAAGAGAAATCTTGTATTTCTGTTTTTTTCTTCAACAACATGACAGCATTCAATTTATCACTACAGAATTGGTGATTTTCTTGATCTTCCCTCTGTCTTAAAAGATTCTGGCTTTTAAACTATAATGCAAATACTTGCTAGGGCATTTGCAGCATGAAAGGAGTCAGACCTATGGCAGCACTAAAAGATCAATGGACTTGAATAAAATCAGCATAAAAGTAGCATAAATACCTTTAGCATAAAAATAGCTGAGGCAGAACAAGACCAGTGGTTTCCTTGCTGATTCAAGTCATGACAAGTCATGACACCCATAATTTTGTTTCAGAGATCATTTCTTCTTACAGCTGTAGTTGTAAAAAATATCTTCCATGCATCTCTCTAAATCAGAGATCTAAAGGCCTCTGCAGGCCTTAACGAGGAATTTCTTGTCTTTTGAGAAATTAAATAAACTTGTCAGCACACTAACATAATAGTTCAAATTTTTTATGATACCTATGAAAATCTACTTAATCTAAAGAGAACGTGAGTTCCCTACATGAAAAGTCATCACATCTAATCTGATTTAAAAATACTGTATGTGTATTTCAGGGTTTCCTGTTTGCTTGGCTAACATGAACTATTATTCTGCAACCTCCCATCTATAGTTCTGGTTGCTTTTCTGACTTGATTTGGTAACAATATTTTAGAAATGTTGAGGTCTTTCCAATGCCTTAAATCCAAAACAAGGGTCATGGGAAAAACTCTTATGCTTGAGTGTAACCACAGCAAAATGAATCCTGGGCCAGAGATAATAACTTTGAATGATAAAGGAAGCAGATTAAACACATGGGACTGTCCAGAGACATTTACACATAAGGCAGGCCACTAATGGGCAATGAACTAATGATACATCTTCAGAAAATGCTTCCTCTGTGCCCAGAACCACTAACGAGATACATAAGAGCCATTCACTCAGCCACATATTAGGCACTGGGCTTGGGAGACTTGTGTCCCAGGATGCCCAATTTAGTTGATATAGCAGGATGAGCTGCTCCAGACAGCAGGTCAGAGCAGGTGCTGCAGAGGTGGCAGTGAGTATTCCTCATCACATCACGGAGGAATTGCACAGTAGCAGTTTAATATGTCAGACCTGAGTGTAAAATGTTGTGATCTGCTGGGTGCAGTCAGGGATTGAAAGCATCTGTCTGTGCTGTGAGAGCTGCACATATGATGGCACACAAGCATTTACCTCTTGGACTGAACTAAATGAGAGCATAAGCAAATGAAAGGAGAAACAGAAAGAGTAAGGCAAGAGAAAACAAGCCAAGATGCTACAAATGTAAACATTTCTCAGTCTTTTTGTGATATTCTTCATGTGTATATCCTGCACTAGTTCTGCTGCATTGTTCTGTCCTTTAAACCACATGGACTTTACAAACAGCTTAAAAAAATCCAGCAGAAACATCCTGTTCTTATTCTAAGCTGTGGGATAGAGCACATTGCA